CGGGCGGAGGCGGCAGGGTCGGGACGGCCGGTGGAGCGGCTGTCCGGCTCCTCGTGGGTGAGGCTGGGCGGGTGAGACGCTGTCTGGTCAGTGCGGGGGCCGGCCGGGCGCGGTCCAGAGGCCCGGGCACCTGCCGGAGGCCAAGCGCTTGGCTCCGAGGGGTGAATCGGGGCTGCTGCCCTGCAGCCCTCCAGCCTCCTCTCCTGGGCGCCTCGCTCTCCTTCCTGTACCGAGGGGTCCGAGTGACCGTGGCCCCCGGAGAGCCAGGCCCGGCCTGGGGGCGTCAGCGGGAGGCTGCCCAGGAACTGCTGCCGCGGGCCACCGCCTTGCGCCAGGTAAACAGGCGGCGCGTGCCAAGCTTGGCCGGGGTGGTCTCCGTGGTCACTCCAGCGGAGCTGAGGACGGACTGGGGAGGGGGCGTGTAAAACACTGCTTGTCTAGGCGAAGTGACTGCTTTGGGGCTACTCAGATCTGGGACACACCATTTTTAGGTTTTCAGCACGTCTCTTCCATGCTGGACCTCAGTTTCTCCACGTGAGAATTGAGAGTTTAGGTGAACTCCCTACAGACCCGTCATGCTGTGAATATCTGACATTGCAAGGTCTGTTCCTGGTTCAACATGCGGGGCAGTTTTACAGAAGACATTTTTTTTTTTAACGTTCCAGATGTAGACTTTTTAACCCCTTCGTGCACTTTGTCTCAGGGAGGTTTAAAATGATTCCCAGAAGTGTTTTCTTGGAAATAGCTTTACTGAGCCTTCGTCATTCCTTGCTGTCGTCTATAGTCTTCCTGTGGAGCGTTTGCATGCAAGCATTTTGCTGTTCGTATTTGCCCATTTTCTCTTTGTTCCTTAGTCTAGGCTGCTTTTGCTTCACATCTGGATTATTGCAACAGCTTCTTAACTGGTCTCTGACTCCAGAGGTTTCACCCTCCCCCATCCTTCCTTTATGCTAACGCCAAACTTAGTATAGGAAGTAGAAAAATAGTTGAGTGCTTGCTTGTTTAGTAAATGTCAAAATGCTGTTGAGCAGTGGACAAAAGGAGTCAAAACACTCTAATCTCCAACCAAGGCTTTTTACACTGGGTGTTCAGACATTGCCCATGAGACAAGGTTGTGTACTATAGAGAGGTAGAGGTAGTGGTGTGTGGTGGGGCTTAGTGAAAGGGTGGTAAAGGACCAGTAGGATTCAGATTTGGGGGGAAAAAAAGGATCCTACAGAGTTAGTGACTAGACCAGCCCCCTGGCCGAAGACTAAGATGGGAGAGGGGTAAGAGGAAATATTGATTAGACTTGGTTCCTGAAAGATCTCGAACACTAGGCCAAAGTTAAAACTATTCTAGAGGCAGGTAGGTGTATTTCAGCAACTGGGAGGGGGCACGGCACGGTGCGGTGCAGAGGTAGAAGGAAGAGGCTAGAGGGTAGGAGGTGAGCTTAGGGGGGCCACGGCAGTTAGACTACTGTTCAAAGCTGAATAGTATCCTGCCTGCTTTGTGGTGTCAGCCTTTACTGTTCCTCCATCTCCGGTCAAGGGTCTTTTAGGTTTGGCTTCATTCCTCTCACCTAAACCTGACTTTTTCCTGGCCTTTGCTTCTCCAAGTTGCTCATGTTCTGACTGCTTCTGAGGCTGTTGTTCCAGTCCCCTGAGCACGTTCTCCATTTCACTTCCTTCAAGCCCCTGCTGAAGATAGACTTCCTCCAATGGGTGTTCCCTCACTGCCCTACCCCCATGCCTTTGTGGCACCGGGACTCTGCAGCAAGCTTCCTTGGTTGTTGGTTGTCTTGGCCCGGCTGGAGCAGTTGTTTGAAGACACTGCGTGTTAGCGCTTCTTTCAGACTCTATGCCTCCTGATGCTGGAGCTGGAATCTTGATAATAGGGTCTCAAATAGTTCCTGATTTTTGTTGGTAAACAATGTTTTTTCCAAGGAGAAGCCTTTGGTTTTTAGCCTTCTCTGTCCTCTGTAACTACTGGTATTTAATGCTGCAGTTCCAGGTGGATGCTTTCAGTTTTATTCTCAGATGCAGAAAGCACAGAAAAAATTCAGTGAAACATTAGTGTTCCTTCCTGATCCCAGGGAAAGAAAAAAAGTATCTGTAATTCTTGAGTCTAACTAAGGCTGTGGGGAAAGAAAGTTGGGTCTGGGATCAGGCCTGTATTTGGATCTCAGTGCAGTCACTCAATAGCTATGTGAAGCTGAGCGATTTGTCCTGTTCTCTGAGCCCATCATTTCCTCCGCTCTTTTTTTTTCTTTTTTGGTGCTGAAGAGTTAGCCCAGGGCCTCACGCATACTGGGCAAAAGCACTACCATTGTACCACTGAGTTCCACCCCCAGCTCGAGCCTGCCGTTTCTTACTTGTAATGTGTCAAAAAGTCAGTGTTGTAGGGTTGATACAGGTGTATATGTTCATTCATGTGCATCTGTATGTGTGTGCACCAGTGCCCGGGTCGAATGCCGAGTATCCCTTTCCACTGCTCTCCCTCTTCTCCATCTTATTTTTTTGAGACAGGGTCTCTCACCATGTCTGGAACTGGCTATTCAGCCAGATTGGTTGGCCAGCAAACCCTAGAGAGTCTCCTGGCCCCACCTCTCCAGTGTGTGTGGCATTTTTACATGGGTGCTGAGAATCCAGACTCAGGCCCTCATGCGTGCATGGTAAGCACTTTAGAAACTGAGGCCCTCTCCACAGCCTCTGGATTTTTAATGATGATGGCACACAAAGGCAGTAGCAAAATTTAGGATCTGCTGAAGACATTTTATTATGATTAGGTGTGGTGTATCAGAGTGGAAGAAGGATGGGCTGCCAAGCTTTGTCTAGCCGATACACATGTCTCTGTTCTGCCTTCCAAATGAAGCAAGAATGTCAAATATTGTGAACCTAGAGTTCTGTCATTTATATTTCCACTGATTTTTCATGTATCTTTAGTTGAAATTTTGTTTCATGCTTTCAAACTTCTTAATTGTGTCCATTTAATGTTTTGTAGCTGACAAACTGCTGAATTTAGCTTAGTGAAGGTCACCAACTGAGCGCAGTTAAGCTTCTAATGGTTATTTTCTCTTGATGTTGCTGGCATGGAAAGCACCCTGGAGGAATGCAATTCAAGGTGAGCCTTTCTAATCCATTTGTTATAAGAGGTGGAACGTGTGTATTCTCTAGATCTCCTGGAAAGCCACCATGGGTAAATAAGCTGCTGTGCCTTAATTTATATTGAGGTCTTGCCTTAAGAAAGCTTACTCCTCCTGCATGAAACAGATCTTTTCAAATGGGAGACATCTAGCCATGAACAGTGGTCTAAAACTTCAGTACATTATTGGTGAGGCTGAGACAGGAGGATCACTGAACCCAGGAATTTGAATCTAACCTGGGTAACATAACAAGACTCTAACTTTAGAAAAAATGCAAAGATTTTAAAAACACTCTAGGGCCTGCTTTTCTGGCAGAATAAAAACAATGAACATTTCAGTCAGATTTTAAAAACAATTTTTAAAATTTTTAAACAATTTTTTAAAATTTATTTAACTTTATGTGCATTGCTGTGAAGGTGTCAGATCTCCTGAAACTGGAGTTACAGACAGTTGTGAGCTGCCATGTGGGTGCTGGGAATTGAACCCAGGGTCTTTGGAAGAGCAGCCAGTGCTCGTAACTGCTGAGCCATCTCTCCAGCCCTGTTGAAAACCATTTGACATTATGGCCCCTTACCACCATGTCAGACCACCTGACTTTGTATGGGACATCTTGAGTGGAATTTGTCTCCACTTGAAGTTAGTCATGAGGATTATCACCAAGAAAGGCTACACATCTCAGTCAGATGCCTAGTTAAAGTCCGCTTCCTTCTGAGAACTATACTTTTGCTCTGGAGACTGACATGTGGTTTCAGTTCCTGGCTGGATCAGTCATTAGCCGAGTACCCCAGGAAAGTTCCTTGTCTCTTGGAGTATGTCTTCTCGTCTGTACAGTGGGGATGGTTGCAACATCTGTGTCTCTGCACAGTGTGCACAGCAGGAGCTGAGAGAAGCCAGTCTTCCCTGTTGCTGCTGTGGTTGAAGCGGCCATTCCTCTCCTGCTTGGAAAGCTCAGAAGCAGCTTCCAATGTTTTGAATTGACTAAGACAAATCACACCCTCCCCAAATTAGTGTATCTGGGCAGACCTGGAGAGTGTTAGCGCCTCGCTCAGAAATGTAACAGTTCGGATAAAAATGTTCTCCCACATGAATTAATGCAGTAAGAACTCTAAACTTGTTTTCCTTTAAATTAGGAAGCGCCCTTCATGAATATCCATCACAGAATGCCATTTCCTCCCTGTTTTTTCCCCTTGCATTGAGTTCCATCAGTATCACAATGCTTCCTGCAGCCCTGCTGCTCATCAGCTGCTGCAAACCTGGGTTTGGCATCACAAGCATCCTGACCAAGAATGGTCCTTTCTAGTACCTTAAGCCCAGCCAAATTTGTCACCTTCCTTTCTTTTCTTGAAAGTGTAACTGGACATTTTTAAAGGGAGTGTAGCCTGTGGTGAAGCTGCAGTGTTTCCAGGTGAGATGGGAGCCAGCCCCCTTGCAGACTTTGCCTCCTGCCTGCCTGTCCTGCACCTCCAGGGTCTTTAGCAGGACATTTTGAGGGCTGAGGGTACAGCTGTGCTGGCAGTCCAGAGGTCTTGAGTTTAGGGTGCATGAGCTGACCCACACTGAGAGCCTCTTGTGAGGTCCCTGCCTAAGAGCTTATCAGTGTGTGAGACAACTCCCATTGCCTGGCTTGTGCTTTTGTTCTGGTTGTCATGGGGAGATCTTTCTGAGGCTTTCTTTACCCCATGCTTACGGTGGAGGGGACTTTAGGACCACCTCTGCTGTTTTGTCCAGGTGACATTGAGGAGTCCTTTGTGGCTCTCTGTGGCACATGTTGTAGTGTATAAGGATGTTACTGTATTAGGTAGACATGGTGCGGGGTTGTACTTTTGGCCTACGTAGTGTGAGTAGCGTTTAGGAGAGGATCAGGTTTGTTGACTTTGACCTGCTACTGCTATGGTAGAGGGCCTCTTTCCTGAGGAACAAGTGCATCCTTTGGTTCTCTACTCTTATTTCTTATTTTATTTTATTTTTCTGGCTCTGCAATGCCACATCCTCTCTATGGTTATCAAAGTGTTGGTCAAACCCTAGTCTCCCACACCACACTTCTTACTGCCCATCGGACAGCCTACGCTCTGCTGCCTCTTCTGGTCTCTCTTGTGCCCCAGAGAGGATGCCAGCCCACACCCCGAGTCCTGTGAATCCTCTGGACTCACGTTCACTGTGACTGCCATGGAATTCCATTTCTTTCTCTAGCCCCGTATTCGAGTCTCTACACATGATACTTCTGCTGTGCGTCTTGTAACAGGACCGAGGCCATTCATATTTTACACTTGCTAGACAGGTATCCTACCACTGAGTTAAATTGTCCACTTAATATGTGTATTTTTTTTAATATTGGCCACGTAGCCTAGAAAGATGGAAAACAATACGGAAAAGGTATGTCTGAAATGCATAAGCATGTGTACACTGTTCTGTCATTTGTTATTAACTACCGTAAGAAGTTAGTGTATCAACATGGATGTGTGCATCAACGTGAACCATGCTAGAGAAATGTAAACAAAGATGTAGGATTATCTCTGGAGTCAGACAGGAGGATTGCTACAAATGGTGAGTTCCAGGCAAGCAGTCTGAAAAGACAAAACTAGGCAGTCTTAGGTCATAGCTGCATAAATTGCTGCTAGGATTCCATAGCTGCCTCCTACTGCTCTGCCATGCTCAACAGCTCCAGTGACTTGGATGTTATGTGCTTCTCATGTATAATTCCTGTAACATAGGACTGTATGTCAGTTCCCTGTTACTGATGAGACTTACAGTTAGTAGCAGGTTATTAGTGGTTAAGTTTTTGGAAAATTTACTCATGGATATCATTAGGAACTTTAACCCCTATGTTGTTGAAGAGAAAACTGTAAGGCTGGGCATAATGGTGTACACCTGTAATCCCAGTATTTGAGAGGCAGAGGTAGGAGGGTTGCCTTGAGTTTGAAGCCAGCCTGGGCTATAGATTCTGAAAATAAACAAACAAGAACAAAATGAGTCAACTATATATAGATTCTTTGGAGAAATGAGCATGGAAAAAAATCATGTGATTAAATTGTTCTAGACCTGGCTACTTTTTTTTTTTTTTTTTGGAGACAAGGTTTCTCTGTAGCTTTGGTGCCTGTCCTGGAACTAGCTCTTGTAGACCAGGCTGGCCTCGAACTCACAGAGATTTGCCTGCCTCTGCCTCCCGAGAGCTGGGATAAAAGGCGGGTCCCCGGCGACCTGGCTACTTTTAAGTGCATTGTAGAGCTCCTTCTGTATTGAAGCATATACAATGTATCTATCTGTTGCTTTGTTGTTTGTTTGTTTTGTTTTTTTATTTTTCAAGACAGAGTTACATACACACACTTCTGCAACATACATGTATATATACACTTCTGTAACATGCATGTATACACACTTCTGCAAGCACTGTATCTGTATTCTAAATTCTTTTTAAAAATAATTTTTTTCATTTATGTGTGGGTGCACATTGGAGGACAACATGTGAAGGGACAACTTGTCGGAGTCAGTTTTCTTTCTACCAAGTGTGTCACAAGGGTCCAGGTCCAACTTGGGTCGTCAGGTTTGGTGGCAGGTGCCTTTACCTGCTGAGCTGTTGCTCTAGCCCCTAGACCCAGTTTTTAGCAGTTACTTTTATGTATTATGTATTTATGTATTTTCACAGCCTTTTATGTGCTGATAAATATCACCAAATTATCCTCAGAATTATTACATTTGTCAGCACTTAAAAGCTTGCTTACATCTCTAATAGCTTAAAAGTGGCACCTTGGATCATGGTGTGCCTCAGTGGTAAAGTATATGCCTACCACATGCAGAGTTCTGGTTCAATTCCCAGTACTGCCCCCACCAATTTTTTTCCTTTTGTAATTTAAATGTTTTTAATCATGAATAAAACTGAAACTTGTTTTTGCCTTTTCTAGGTCTTTCTCTTTTTAGCTGTCTATAAGTAGCCTTTGCCAATTCTTCGTGAAAAAATTTTTGTGTCAGTTCAATTTGATAAACAAATTAAAGAATTTAGAATTAGCCCAATATCAAATCTGTATGCATTTTCCTTCAATCTTCCCTTTACCTGTGGCCTTTAGAGAGGTGTGTTTTTCATTTTATATTTTTATACAGTCCTGTACATTTGTATGTACCTTTGTGGCTTCTGGAATTGATGCCATGCCTGGGAGATCTGTTAAGCTGATGTGTATGAATTCATCCAACTAGTTGTAAGAATATTGATGGTATTCAGGGAAAGCCAAAGCCAGCTGAGCATTGCTTACTCGTTTTTAGGACACTAGCAAGCAGGCAGCTGCTTTGAAGGCTCCAGGAGCTGTGTTCTGTTTTGCCCAGGCCTTTCATTTCATTCTGCCCTGCAGTGACATCCCCCAGAAGAGTGTCATTGCCTTTTTCCTCCTTTGTTCACGTCCATGTGAAGGAACAGGGGCTTGTCACTGGTGTCCCTTCTTACTTTGCTCAGCATGTCTATTAGTTTCTGGTTGGCTGTGTCCTTGTCTCCCTGTTTCTGCCCAGTGCCCTTTTCTTCTAGAGCTCCCTCAGATAAAAAACTTCACTGTGCAGGGAAGCCTTGGAACTGAGTTTAGGGGATCAGGTCATCTTGCCTTTCGCACAGCCATTGTGCAACATCCACAGTGCAGTGGTGTGCCTGGGCTTTTCCTGGTGGAACTGTGCAAAACTTTCAAGTTGCTTAACTTACTAACCCCATTGCCATCTGGTCTTCTATTATGCCTTCTGTTCCCTTCTCTTTTGGTCTGTGTGAGGAATGGTGGTTGATGGACTAGCTCCACTCTCTCCCTGTGACCATGTCCACAGTACTAGACTGTGTGAGTGGCCTCTCTCGGTTTGCCCAAACTACTCCCTAATTGAGCTGCTACCCTGAACTCACTTTGTCAATTAGACCTCCCTGCTACTTAGAGACACCCCGCCCCCCCCAGCAGCAGTAGCAGCACTGTCGGTGGCTTCCTCCTTGCTCACTTCGTACAACTCAGAGTTTACT